ACCATCTTCTTTATCCACTGCATCATCTTCTTCAGCCACATAAGCATGTAGTTCACCAACATAACCAACTTCTTTATCCACTGCATGATCTTCTTCATCCACATAACCATCTGCTTCACCAACATAACCAACTTCTTCATCCACAATAGCATCTTCTTCAACAACATATGCATGTATATCTTCCACCTCTTCTTCCATATTTACCTCTTCCTCCGTCTCCTGTACTGCCTCTTCACCAAAACACAAAAACTTTACTTCATCTGGCTGACTAGGTTGTAGATGTTGGACATAGATTTCAACCTCATCATTATTTGCCTCTGCATAGTTAGCCAAGAACAGTGCTTCCCTGTCATCACTCAGTAATCTCAGGTTGTTCATTGCCTTTTGTTTTGCCCCCTTCCACCATAGCTTGAACTCTGCATCATACTTGAATTCTTTAACATATCCCACTGCTTCAAAGTAAGACCACCTGTCCGGATCAATTCCTTTTATAACATGTATTTCTCCTCCCACATATTCTATTCCCTTATTCTTCACGAACTTCCCCATGTGATGCAGAGAAAAATGAAAAACCATTGCTAATCCTACATTGTAAAATGCACATTTTACTCACACAATGCACAATAAGCAATGGAGTGACAGTAAACATAAACGAAAATAACAAAATTACCTTCTTCGAATCGCCTTCCTCACACACACAATGCAAACGAACACTGGAGCAACAGAGTTATCAACCCTAATCGCGACTCACGTTCAAGATAAAACAAAGTTATCAACCCTCGTCTTTGATTCACTTAAGAAGATCCAATCCCTTATCTCCGTCAGCTCATTTAATCACTAATCAATTTCCATTTAAAATGTTTTAACACGTGGCAAATGTTACAAACGATAGCTGTCATCCCACGTGCCTATACGTTAGCCACATCACCCGAATTTTAACGCCGTTTGTATTGGAGGACCAAAAATAATGGTTTCCTTAAGGATATGGATCTAATCGTGTAAAGTTTGAAATAGGGACGAAAAATAAAAACGCTTGATAGTTCAGGGACTAAAAACATATTTAACCCTAAATTTTTTATTGCTCCTCAGTTGTTGTGTATAACCCATATTTATCAGTTACAAATATGCATCTTTTTCAATATTTCACTCATAAGAGAAAAGTATATTTAAAAGCATTTTATCTTCCTATTGATGTTTGTTTTTAGTTATAATATGTTAGGTTTGTTATGATCATTTATGGTTACTACTTAGAAGTAGTAATTTGTTAGGTTTGTTACGTTTTTTACCATTCTCTCCTTTTTCCTAACCTTTAGGTTAGGGTTTTCTCTTTTAACGGTTGTAACCACAAAAACTATTTCCTACGTAAATAATACAAGTTCAAGTTTTTCTTACATTTGATGAAGCCTGCGTGCACATCTGCCATCTCTCTTCTTCTCCTTCTTCTAGAATCCATAATTGGATGTCGCTCCTGAGCCTCGCTTTCTTTCTTCTCTAAGCTTTTAGTGAGCCTCGTGCTCTCTCTTTCTCTCTCTCCCTCTCTTTCTCGTTGGCCAACACTAACTTATGGAAGAAGTCTTTCTCTCGAGATATTTTATCTCTCACTAGGCTTAGGAAAGTGGGCCTATGTGCTATTGGTCCTCATTATAATATGGTATCAGAAGAGCAATGCAATTCCTAATTTGTTCTTGGCATAATGAATAATCTTAATCCCACCACTCAATCCTCTAGCCCGTTTTATCTTCATCCCGGAGAAAATCCAGGTCTTACTCTCATTTCCCAGGTTCTCAATGAAACCAATTACACTTCTTGGAGCAGAAATTTAAAAAGAATTATTCTCTTCAAAACAAAGACCAAATTCATTGATGGTAGTATAAAAAAGCCACCAAGAATTGATCCATTATTTGATGCTTGGGAGAGATGTGACACAATGGTTTTGTCCTAGATCATCAAGACCCTTTCACCACAGATTGGAGAAAGTGTTATATATGTTGACAATGCTAAGGATTTGTGGGAAGAACTTAAAGAAATATTTTTCTAAAGGAGACTACTTCAAGATTTCAGATTTATTGCAAGATATTCATTCCATTAAATAGGGAGAAAGGAATGTCAGCCAATATTTCACTGACTTAAAGATTCTTTTGGAAGAATTAGAGTCTCTTAGACTCATACCTTGCTGCACCTACCAAATCCCTTGTTCTTGTGATTTATCTAGAGTCTCTCTCAAATATAGAGAGGTTGAACACATTATCTGCTTCTTAAAGGGCCTAAATGACACATACCATACTATTAGAACACATATTCTCTTGATGGAGCCCCTTCCCAACATCAACAAGGTTTTTTCTCTCTCTATGCAACAAGAAAGACAAGAAAGACATCCTAGAGCCATTAATCAGAATGATACTTTCAAGAATTTGGCCAATTGGAAACAAGGACGTGGCACTAGCTCACGTGGACAATGTAGAGGAAGAGGGAGAAATCCCCATTATGGGAAACAATGCTCCCATTGTCACAAAATGAATCATACGGTTGATGAGTGTTATTCTAAGCATGGCTACCCACCTTGGTATAGGAAAAATGACAACCAAAATAGTCAAGACAGGGGAGGACAGAATGAATGGAGCTATGCTAAGGCTTGCAAAGATGATTATACCCCTACCTATATATTTGTTAGTCTTCCAAATAATTATATAGTTACAGCCCAACATGCTGGAACCATTCAATTTTCCTAAAATTTCATCATTTTTAATGTTCTTTATATTCTAGAATTTTCTTTTAATCTTATATTTGTTCAAAGTTTTACCAGGAACCTAAATTGCACTCTAACCTTTTCTTCTAAGACTTGTCAGGTATAGGACAACTCTACCTTGAAGATGATTGGGCATGCTAATGTTACAAAGGCCTTTACTATCTACAATCCTTTCCTATCTTTAGTCAGGACTATGTTTCTAAATTTGGGTTTTCTTGTAAAAAAGTTAATGATGATTTGTGCACTATATACTGGGTCACCCTGGCCACAAAATCCTAGAACAAATATGTAAGAATTTTCCTTATGTTCAAATGCCATCTAAAATTGTTTGTGATATTTGTCATTATGCCAAACAACATAAACTTCCTTTTTCCCAAAGCACAATTGTTTCTACTAATTATTTTGAATTGATACATTGTGATATATGGGGACCTATCTCTATTCCTTCTATTCATGGCCATAAATACTTTCTTACCATCTTTAATGATTACAATAGACACACTTGGGCCTTTTTTTATGCACAATAAAGGTCAAACTAGAGAACTTTTACAAAATTTCAATTTAAAAATTAAGAACCAGTTTGGCAAAACTGTTAAGACTATTAGATCTGACAATGGTCCTGAATTTAATTGTGTTGCTATGTATGATTCTTATGGTATTGAGCACCAACAAAGTTGTGTTGAGACTCCACAACAAAATTCTATTGTTGAACGAAAACACCAACATATATTAGATAAAACTCGCAATCTCCTTTTTCAATCTAATATACCCACTGCCTACTGGTCTATGCTATATCTCATGCCATTTATTTGATAAATAGATTACCCACATCTGTTATAAGTGGTAAGACTCCTTATGATTTAATATATGACAATCCTCCCACCTATTTGAACTTAAAAACCTTTGGTTGCCTATGTTTTGCTTCCACTTTAGAACACAACAGACATAAACTTGATTATAGAGCTAGGAAAGGTGTTTTCTTAGGTTATAAAAATGGTGTTAAAGGATATATCATACTTGATGTTAGTACTAGGGAAATATTTTTAAGCAGGAATGTTATCTTTTATGAAAACATTTTCCCCTACAAAGAACAACATAATAATGAGACCAACTATGCTGAGAAAGAGATTGAAAGTGTTTTGCCTAATGATTTCTGGTATGGTCAAAATTGTGATGGGGCTCAAAATTTTTTTGAGAATGGAGATACTAAGCAAAGATTTGATCACAGTGGTGACACCACCACTAACACTTATACTGATCACACTGATAATAAAGAAGATCACAGTTCTAGAAAATCTACTAGAGTTAAAAGGGTCCCTGGATATCTAAATGATTACATACGCCAAGTTAATCATTCCTCATCTAGTTCTTTACATGCCAAAAATAATTTCAAAACTGCTTATCCTCTTTCCAATGTTTTGTCTTATGATTCTTTGTCTAAGAAGCACCTAAGGTACACATTGCCCATATCTGCAAACAATGAGCCTAAATCCTATAATGAAGCAAAAGACGAACCATGAATGGATCACAACCATGCAAAAAGAACTCAAAGCCTTACAGGACAATGACACTTGGTACTTAACTCAACTTCCTCCTGAAAAAAGGCCATTGGTTGAAGATGGGTGTACAAGATCAAACATAAAGTCGATGGCACCATAGATAGGTACAAAGCTCGTTTGGTTGCTAAGGGTTATACCCAGCAAGAAGGTATAGATTTTCTGGACACCTTTTCTCCTGTAGCTAAACTAACCACTGTCAGGATCCTTCTTGCTATTGTTGCCTCAAAAAATTGGCATTTGCATCAACTTGATGTTGGTAACGTTTTTCTACATGGGGACTTAAATGAAGAAGTATATATGGAGCCACCACCAGGGTTGAACATTCATACAAAAGGTCAGGTTTGTTGGTTAACTAAATCTTTATATGGGCTAAAGTAAGCTAGTAGACAATGGTTTAATAAACTATCATCTTTTCTTCTCTCTGCTGATTACACTCAATCTAAATCTGATCATTCCCTGTTTCTTAAGAAAACATCCACAAATATCATAGCTCTCCTTGTGTATGTAGATGATATTATTTTGCAAGAGACTCTATCACAGAAATAGACCACATTAAAGCTCTTCTTCATCATGCCTTTCGAATCAAAAACCCAAGAGAGGTGAAATATTTTTTAGGCTTTGAAGTTGCCAGATCTAAGAAAGGGATACACCTTTGTCAAAGAAAATATGCATTGGACATTCTTGAAGAGACACGAATGCTAGGATCCAAGCCTTGCACTACCCCCTTTCTGAGTGACACCAGCTCCTTGTTTAAGACAGAGAATTACTTGCCCAATCCCAATTCTTATCACAGACTGATAGGGAAGTTACTCTATCTCACTAATACTAGACCTAATCTATGCTTTTCTGTTAATCTTCTCAATCAATTTGTTCAATCCCCTACTAATTATCACTATCGGGCTTTGCAGCACATGCTTAGATATATTAAGTCCAGCCCCTCACAAGGCCTCTTCTTTGTTGTTGATTCTCATATCCAAATAAAGGCCTTTAGTGACTCGGACTGGGCAACTTGTCCTAATACTAGAAGATCCACCACTAGATTTTGCATCTTCCTTGGATCCTCTCTTATATCATGGAAAACTAAGAAACAAAATACTGTATCTAGGTCTTCCACCGAAGTAGAATATCGTGCCCTGGCTGCTACAACTTTCGAAATTAAATGGATTGATTATCTCCTACAAGATCTCAGTGTTGAGACCATTACTACTGTTGTGCTTTACTGTGACAATAAGTTTGCTAGACATATTGCTCATAATCAAAGCTTTCATGAAAAGACTAAACACATCGAACTCGACTGTCACGTTGTCCACGAGAAGATTCAACAAGCAACTTGTTGACATTTTACAAAGCTTCCTCACCGCGTACGCTTCCAGTTTATCGTCTCTAAGCTTGGATTGGTGAACATACACAATCCAGCTTAAGGGGAGGCTATTGATGTTTGTTTTTAGTTATAATCTATTAGGTTTGTTATGATATGTTAAGATTACTACTTAGAAGTAGTAATGTGTTAGGTTTGTTAGGTTTTTGTACCCTTTTTTCTAACCTATTTAAAGGCTAGGGTTTTCCCTTTTAACGATTGTAATCATAGAAACTATTTCATACAGAAATAATACAAGTTCAAGTTTTTCTTACCTTTGATGAAGCCTATGTGTAGATCTGTCATCTCTTTTCTTCTCCTTCTTCTAGAATCCATAGCTGGATGTCGTTCCTGAGCCTCGCTTTCTTTCTTCGCTGAGCTTCCAGTGAGCCTCGTGCTCTTTTTTTTTCTCTCTCTCTCTCTTTCTCTCTCGCTGGCCAACACTGACTTCTGGAAGAAGTCTTTTTCTCGAGATATTTTATCTCTCACGGGCCTTAGGAAAATGGGCCTTTGTGCTATTGGGCCTCATTATAATACTTCCAAAATTTTAAAATATAATACAAGAAAATAAAAACATCTATCATTGAAAAATAGTAGTAATTATGATGGAGTTTGATTCAATTTTATTGTATAGATATGGACGAGAATCACTATGCATAATTACATTAAACATCGTTACTCAGTGAGTAAATACTATCAAAATGAGTAATATTTTTTATTTTATAATTATTATCTCTTAATTATATTGAAACGTTACGATTGAATGATATCAATTATGCAGATTACAAATATGTAAGTTGAATTCCTAAAACAAAAAAATAAATGACATTGAAAATTTTGAGTTTTTCCTAACCCTTCTTTATGCAAATTCCTTTTTAGGAATCACTTTCTCCCCAAGTGGTGTTCCAATGATTCTGATGACCACTGCAACCACTATTTTTGTGCTTTGTTTTTACAATATCATTGCTCTATTTCTTTTGTTGCTGTCACAGTATTTTTTATTGTCATTTTAGACCTTGTTCTCTTATTAATAGAAATGGCTTCCTATAAATTCTTTCTTACAATTCTTTTTACTCTAGCACTCTTATATTAGTGCTTTCTTTGACTCCATGACTAAGAACACACTTTTGAAGAAATTACAAAACAAGGTCAAAAACAATGTGGAGGATCTGCGTCGTTTATTGATAAAAGTGGAAAAGCTCGAAGTAGCTCTTATAGTTCAATCCAAGTTGTAGGACAAGAAGATGGACCAAACATTGCAGTAATTGTTAGAAAATGTGTCTCAATCTATTGGAAGTTCAATGAACTTAGGTTCCTCAGCGAGGGCTACTCCGATCACCATGGCTCCTATGACAAGGGACATTTCGTTGCGTTTCCCTCATTTTGACGGTTCTACACCGGTGCTAGAGTGGACATTTAAAGCAAACAAGTTCTTTAACTATCATAACACCTCAGATGTAGATCGTGTAGAAATTGCTTCAATGCATTTTGAGAAGGACACTAGTACAAAATTTGCTTTTAAACTCGCATAATAGGCTTCGGTTTACACAAAATTGAAGCCTATCAAAACGCAGTGACACTTTTGTAGTTATGGAGAACTTATACACCTCGGTTCAAGGGGAACCGATGCATAAAACCTCTATAACCTCGGTTATAAAGACAACCGATGCCTAAAACCACATAAAATTATCTGCAAAACTGGCTTTTAGGCTGACAACTTTACTAGAAGGAGTTATTGTTTCGATTCTCTGACCAACCGAGGCAAAAAAACCCTGACAACTTTTTCGAAATAGGCCTGCTGCCTCGGTTCCCTGACCAACCGAGGCGAAAAATTCTGACAACTTTTTTGAAATTGGTCTACTCCCTCGATTCTCTGACCAACCGAGGCAGTATGTCCTGCCAAAAACTGACAACCTCTGATTTTGAACATTCCATATCCCTTTTTTCAACCTGTACTGCCTCGGTTCCATTTTAACTGATGTCATAGGCCCTTTATGCCTCGGTTTAACCGCGAACCGAGGCCTATAGTTAGTAGATATTTTCAAATTTTGCATTTACAATTTTTTTTTTGAATTTTTTCTGTCAGGTTTACGCATCAGTTTTATTTATAACCGAGGTAATCGCCTCTTCGATGGTTATATTCCAGATCCATAACACAGTAAGCACATTTTCACTCTTCTTCTTCTTCCGTCAAAGAGTGAACGCGAATTGCAGCTTTGCAATCGCACGAGCAACGTTTCCTTGCCGCTCCACCGCCTCTACCTCCACCACTAGTTGCCGCCGTTGGCCGCCACCGCTGTCTCCATCACTAGGCTTTGCCGCTTCCTCCACCACTGGCCACCATTGTAAGAAACTTTATCCTAATGTTCTTTTTTCTCCCTCGCGTAACCATTCTCTCTTTCAGGCGAAATTGTTGGTTTGTAGCCTCCATTTCTCTCACATGAGTGCTTGGTGTAGTCTCCATCTTCGTTGGCTCCATTTCTGTCGCACGATCCTTGCTCCCTCTATTTCTCTTGCGCGAACACTATTTTGCTGTCGCCACCTGTCGTTCGTCGCCGCCACTGGTTGTTTGTCGCTGCCTTCTACCGTTCGTCATTGTCTTCGGTCGTCTGTTATTGCCTTCATCCGTTTTTGTGCTGCCTCCATTGTCTGTTGCAGATAAAAAAATTTGTTTTGAATAGGGAAAAGACCCTATTTTCTAGAAAAAAAAGGCATTTATCGCCTTAGTTCGAAAGCAACCGAGGCAAAAGTCCCCATTTTCTAAAAAAAAATGACATCTACCGCCTCGGTTCGAAACCAACCGAGGCAAAAGACCCCTACATACTGCCTCGGTTCTGAACTGAGGCAAAAAGGCTATGCTTTTTCCTCGCCTGTATATAACTTAATTCATGAACCGCTACGTATAACCGGAAATAATTGGTGTTGTTTCCCTTTACTGCACTAGTGAGAGGTGGTACCATGGTTTCAGATGTTACAGAAGATGGAAGCATTCACCACTTGAACAACTTTAAACCGAGCTTTGGAATCTCAATTTGGACCTTCACCATTTGATTGTCCAATGGCAGATCTTTTCAAGTTGCAGCAACATTGCTCTATATCAGACTACTACTTAAAATTCATGACGTTGGCGAATAGATTGGAATTTTGACGAAAGAAGTTGTTCTCAATTGTTTTATTAGTGGCCTAAATGTTGACATTAAACGGGAAGTGGCCATAACCCCATCAACTTTGTTAAGAGTCATAGCTTTGGCCAAATTATATAAGGAAAAATATACAAATATAACCAAGTCATCACCCTCATACTCCACCAGATTCACAACATCATTAGTCTCCTCAACCCCTTACAGCTCATCTTCCAGAAACATACTTAAACAACCTTTATCTGAGGTCAAATCAATTGCACCACCCTTATTACCCACACCACTGGGGCCCCAACTAAAAACCCCAATGTCAAGAGGATAAGCCCTGTTGAAATGCCATTGAGACGTGAAAAATGTTTGTGTTATTTCTGTGATGAAAATTTTTCCTTCAACCATAAGTGTCCTAATAGACAATGTTTTGTGTTGCAACTTGGTGAAGAAGAACAGGAAAGGGAGAAAGAACCACCATATGATACCGTAAAATAAGATACATCAAACATGAACGCCCATCACCTATCCTTGAATTCTTTAAAAGGAGGTTTGGCAGTATGGACAATAAAATTCCAGGCTTATATAGGCAATTTGTCAGTCATAATGTTGATTAATCGAGGCAGCTCAGATAATTTTCTTCAGCCAAGGGTGGCAAAGTTCTTAAAACTCCCAATTGTTCAAGCTCCAAAGTTTGTAGTCATGGCGGGTAATGGAAATTATATGGAGTTAGAGGGATTGATTCAAGACTTAAAATTACAAGCTCAAGGCAATGTCTTTCAGTTATCCGCGTTTTTGTTACCAATTTCTGGTGCAAACCTCATATTGGGTGTTAGTTGGCTCAAAACCACTGGCTCTCACTTGGCAAATTATGAGACACTTCAAATCAAGTTTTTACAAGGTGAAAAATTTAGTACATTACAAGGTGACAATGATCATCTTCCTAATACAGCCCAATTACATCACATACAAAGAATGTCAACATAAATGCTATAGCTGAAGTGTACAACATGCAAATGGTTCAAGAGGATGTTATTCCTTCTTCCTTGCTTGAAATTCCTATTGAAATGAAACTAGAATTGGCACTTTTGCTAAATACATACAGTTCAGTGTTTAGCAACCCTTCTAGTTTACCCCCGCATAGGTCTCATGTCCATGACATACCAATGTTAAAAGGCTCCAACCCTGTTAAAGTCAGACCTTATAAGTATCCTCATAGTCAGAAGGAAGAAATTGAAAAGTTGGTGGAAAACATGTTGAAGGAAGGCATCATTCAACCAAGCAGTAGTCCTTTCTCTCCTCTAATAATCTTGGTCAAGAAGAAAGATGGTTCTTGAAGGGTATGTACTAACTATAGGGCTTTAAATGCTATTACTATTTAGGATGGTGGAACAATAGACTCAACAAGCATCAAATTTTTCTAGGATAGGTTCTAACCAGACTCGGATACCACGTTAAAAAATAAATTTTAAGTCTAAGTCAACTTCACGAAATCGGCTTGTCAGATGAGATTTGTATCCACATATATATTGTTAATTGACCTTATTTTTAATGAATGTGAGACTTCCAACAAAGGAGATAAATAAACTTTATCAATTCCTTAATATGCTACTTTCGATCCATAAAAAACAATAATAAAATAAGTATATTTTTTATAGAAAAAAAAGGAAAAATGAAGATATGTTACTCGATATATGGTATAAAACATCTTAATCAAGAATCATGGACTATGACTTTTCACTAAGAAATGCATGAAATTGACCAAGATTGATAGATTTTCTAAAATTGTATTTTAAAAATTCTTGATACTTTTTATTATAAATTTTAGATTCCAAATTATCATATTTAGACA